GAAATTCTTTGGTGAGTGAAGTATGTACGTGCTAAATAAGGACATGTCACTTTATTTCACACACTTAATATATAGTATTGACAAACAACGAAGCAAATAATCCCTTCATGTCACTTTATTAAGAGAAGAAGGCTTTTGCCCTTGAGCTCCACATTCATATCCAAAAATTGCAAAAGAGTTCAGTCTTAACAATAGTATATAACACAAATGTAGACTTAACAGCAGCGATAGGTGTAAGCCAGTTGCAACCTGCTGCTACTGACCCTATGTTCTTCATATCTGTTACATTTTCCTAACCAATGAGAATCAAGTTTGCGTTTAAAAGGTTCAACAGAATCTGAGAGGACCACTCCGCCAGGGAGTCTGTTCCACGTTCCAATGACCCTCTGTGAGAAGGTTTTCTTTCGAACGTCCATATGGGCCGGCTTCCTATGCAGTTTAAAGAGATGTAACGTCCGAGCTAATTCGAAGGCTTCATCAAATTCTAGGGCGCGCTCACGGCCTCTGACAACTTGCTTGGTTTGGATGGGGTCACCGCGGAAGTGCCTGTATTAGAGAGGAAATAAATCAAGTTCAGTCAATCTGTCTTCATAAGGCAGGTGACCAAGATTCTTGACTATCTTTGTACCCCTCGCCTACACTCGCTCCAGGTGCAGATAATCCTTCTTAAGGATACATCCAAAACTTATCGTCACGATCCACCCATATGGGAAAATTTGGATTAATTACGAGTTCAAGGGATTTTAAAGAAACGTGATAGTACAAGGTACTACAAGGCTTGATAATACAGGAATGTAACCACCTGTTTCAGCCCCAGTATTTACATCACGAGCGATACTGGTTAATTCCATCATTGTGCGGCTTAAAAAAATTCCCAGAGTGTACTGGTCCTTGACATCACTGTGATCGTGTCCTCTCTAGATTGAAAATATCCATGCCCATGACAGTTATGTGCAGTGAAATCAGGAAAGATCGGGACATTCTCCAGCGATGGTGACCGAAGGTCCAAAAACCGATTCCATGTCAAACTGTCCATGAGAGCCTGTCGCGCCAGGTCTTCAGTTGCCAGCTTTGACGAACCCAGGTGAGCCGTGGCGCGTGATCTGACGTAGTATCCCAAATCCAACCGGTAGGACAACAGAGGACGTACTAAGATCATGTCAGTCATATTTCTTGGATTACTTTAGATATCCTTCTGTTACAGTCGCAGGGTCTCCGGACTGTCAAATACCTCCGGCCAGATGACAAATACTTGTACTTTTGTCGTTTGTTCCATTACTTCTAGAATCTCTAAAAAGAGTCATAAATGCAGCTAATACACCCTGCTTGTCGCAAAAGGTATCTTCTCTATAGTATACTTAGTTCCTTCTTAAATAACTTCATAGAAGAATTTAAAGACTTAAATTCATAAAAATTAATGAAATATAATAAAACTACGTTGAATTGCCTAAAAAATATCAGCCGCATTGTGACCTCCACAGATACTGAAACCCACACCGATCAACATGCGAAACAAACAGTGAATTAAGGCGCACTCAGACAAAGCTGTGTATTCAGTTAATTCGAGGTCCACTTACCTCGGCTTAAAAGGGAAGCAAATTCAAAAAGTAGAATATATTAGTGTTTAATTTACCGCGGTTTTCAGCTTAATACATGCATTAATGCCTGATATTGCTTACCTGCTGTTCTGCGGCATTCATGAAATTTAGGGTTTCTGATATGTTAATATGTATGCCTTAACCATTGGACCCGCCCAGTCCGAGCCCGTGTGTTGGCAGGGTGTGTGTTATATGAACATAGATTTCGACGAAGTCCACCATGTGCTCAAGAGCAGATAGGGTAAATGGAGCTAAGTACGAGGTTATAGTGAAATAGACGCGCAACTGTCTACCTCACTCTAACCTCACCGCTTTGACTGGTGAGGAGACCGAAGTCGAGATGACCGAGTAGGCTTTGGGCAGAAGCCGCTTTCTCCAATGCAGCCCGAAGCACCGCCTAAACTTAGCCTTTATTGACAGTAGACTTTGTGCGGGTACTACTGCACTGTCTGCCCTCACTCACCTGCAGTAGGTGTCTAACCAGACTCTAGGAAGCCAGGGCTTGTACTACTACTAATACTACCACCACTGTTATTTCTTATACTACTAACTAGGATGTAACAGAATGATAGTATTTGCTGGTACTATTTATGACTGTATTGTAAATCGGAAGTGACGCTGATTAAAGTCAGCACTGGGCTCATATCCCTGCAATATCAGTATGGAGTGTAATAGTACTGGTGCTAGCACTAGCGCTACAAATTGTCCGAGGTGACGCTGAGTTAGCCAACGCTAGGGCTCCTACCCCTTGATCTCAGCAAGTAGCGTGAATCATGGTTTCAACTATACCCAGTAAGTACAGGTTTGGGGCACAACAGAGTTTGCCTTGGTTTCCACCCTCTAAAATCTATCCATCTAGCTGTGTACGTTTCTACTAGGTACGGTCTAAGATACTGCTGCTATGGGTACGTGCCTATGCTAACAGTGCTAATTCCTAGTAATCATGCTAACTAGGGCCAGTAGATAGTATATAATTAGTACTGCGAGTGTGTGCTTTTTAAGGGGTCGCACCAAGTATACACTCTTAATTTGTGTGAGGTAATAGTGATTAGCATTTGGATAATATTAATGTGCTTGTAAATAATGCACAAGTCCTACCATGCCTTTTTGTCATGCAGTTTGCCGTATATGAACTAACATTTCTGCGGCTCGTGCTACTACTACTTTTTTAAACTACTGAATAAGAAGGTAGCTGAATGTTTGTAATGCTGACTATTCCGAGTTAGTACATGCTTTTGAGACCCGGGGTACATCAGGACATGCCCCAGTTGCCGCCCTCTCACCTCTGTACACAAGAAGCTGTGTAACATTTTGCTAATTTTGGACAAGAATACTGCTGCTAGATGTCATATATCACTGCTAAGAGTTTTAATTATATCAATTATACTTACCAAGACCAGTGGATAGTATATTCTACTAACAGATTCCGATAATTATGTCGATAGCTAACATGCATCCTGTAATTGCAACAAGCATAGCAGATGGGAATTCGAGCTTACGCGCGTTCGAAGTTTCATCTGAGCTGATTTGCAAGACACCCGGGCGACCGTTTACTTCTGGTAGCTAAGTGAGACTATCAACAATAACTTGCAGTGGTTAGTTGAATACTCGTCCATCTTAGCAGGGCGCCTAGATTACTCAGTTTTGGGCGGTTGAGTGACCCCTTTTTAGAGGCGAAAATCGTAGAACGCCCCACTGTACGCAGTGGTGGAGGGAGACGGTCATGGTGACAGGGCATTATACGCGCCGACGCTTATCTTAACACAGGGGTTGTTGCCTCCCGGGCGATGACCGTTCGCATGAACAGAGGGCTCAGTCGTGAGAGGCTGAGGATGGGTGGACCTCTGCTACATTAGCCTACGCCGTTAGTTATACTGGTACTAACACTGGAGCTACCATTTTTCCGAGGTGAAACATCACCCCACGCCGTGATCTGCCCATCAGCCGAAGTCGCTTGGCGCGGATTGTGAACTGGAGGTAATTGGTCCTCCAGTATTCGCATGCCTAAATTTTATCCCGTGGCAATTAAACTGCGTGTCATACGAAAGTGTACGAAAGTGATCTCGTCATGCGGGCGGCGTGAAGACTATGAGTTTTAATTAAAGGACCCTTATTAACTCTGTCCAACTGTACGATTTTTATTATCCCTGCAATAGTACTGACTTGATGATGATGACATATGTATGTTTTCGGAGTAAACTTTCCAAATTAAACATGGGAATATGATATAAGTCTGTACTATGACCATCGGTTTCGACGAAATCCAAAATGCGCTCAAGAGCGGAGACGGTAATGGAGCTAAGTACGAGATTGCAGTGAAATAAGACGCGCAAATGTCTGCCTTACTCTAATCTTAACCACTTTGATTGATGACAAAACCGAAGTCGAGATGACCGAAGCAGGCTTCGGGCAGAAGCCGTTTTATCCAATACGGTTGGTAAGTAAGAATCTCATCGATGACTTGCAGAGGACAGACAATGTTTGTGCTTATGTGCCCTCACGATTGGGTGGCAGTCCTTGAACGCCCCCACGCTACTGATGTGAGGGGGGAGACGGCCACGCTATCAGGGCGTTTGATGGAACGAGGCTTCTCTTAGGAATCTCTAAAAAGAGTCATAAATGCAGCTAATACACCCTGCTTGTCGCAAAAGGTATCTTCTCTATATTATACTTAGTTCCTTCTTAAATAAATTCATAGAAGAATTTAAAGACTTAAATTCATAAAAATTAATGAATTATATTAAAACTACGTTAAATTACTTAAAAAATATCAGACGCATTGTAATCTCCACAGATAATGAAACTCATCGATCAACATGCGAAACAAACAATGAATTAAGGCGCACTCAGACAAAATTGTGTATTCCACTTACCTCGGCTTAAAAGGGAAGCAAATTCAAAAAGTAGTATATTAATGTTTAAATCACGGCATTGATGCTTGATGTTGCTTACCTGCTGTTCTGCTGTATTCATGAACTTTAGGGTTCCTGATATGTTAATATGTACGCCTTAACCATTGGACCCGCTCAGTCCGAGGCCGTGTGCTGAGAGGTAACGCTATCAGTAGGTACATGAAAGTTCCTAAATGATTTACACAGCCGAAACACTATATTCAATTGTCGTCAAGGGTCTATTTAATTCAACATGTAGGAAAAGGAGACGCAAAGTTTTAAGTGACCGAATGACACTGCATGTTCGTTTTTGCGACATTGGCGTTGTGTCCGGTGTAAAATGTGAGATCAAAGTTTCCGTTTCCATTCAAATTTTAATGCTTCTATTAACCAAAGATGACTTTAACAAGGCTTTAGTTTTGTAAAATGTCCTTGGTCTGCAGCAACTTCTTTGGCTTCCAGTTTCATGAGCTTTTGTTTGAACTTATTGTGAAATTTCGTACTAATTCAGAACCGCAAAGGCATGTAAGATGTTATCGCCCAGTTTGGAGCTTGTATGCAATTACAGAAAATGCAAGCAAAACTTACGTGAAATCGCAGTTGTTACAATATGTCAGCATATACTGTGCATTATTCACAGTCCTAAGCCATTAAACGGTCAACACATTGCTGTCTGTCCCGTCTGCGATTGCAGGCTTGATCGCAGTGTTAATGACTACATTGAGGTAAACTTCTGAACCATTAATTATCAATAGATTGACCTCCAACCTTCCGATAGGTTCAAGTCCCTGATTTTGGCTGGCCAATCTCCGGAAGTAATATTCGACATATGTTCTCGTGCTCTCAGTTTTTACAACTTCCAGCAAATGCTGCGACTGCAATTTTTAGAATATGTAGCTGCAAAATCGGTTGAAAAAACCAAAGCAATGGAGAAGGAGTTCAAAACCGTTCTATCTCAAATGAAAGAGGAAAATATGCTTATTGAGCACAAGAAGGGTGCTGTAAGATTCATCTTACATTTTCCGCTCAGTGCATTTTTTGTAGCTCCTCCAGGAATGCGAAGAGTTGCGTTCGAAACTGATTGTTTCCGATCAAAAACTCACACAGTTAGAGAAAGAATGTCAAAGACTAAGGTTGACAGAGGGCAAAGCTTCAGTTTCGGTCATGAATGAAACTAATTTGCTAAATGTGTCTTTAATCCAACCCCGAAAAAATATTGGCTCTATTTGGGGACCGGAGCCTAAGCGAAATAGAGTCGATACTACTGAATCATCCCTGATTGCTGATAATTTGGAGTCCATGAAGTCTCACTCTAAGCAGGATGATAGTGTTAATGCCAAATTTGGAATTATTCAGCGAGATCGCAAACCATCTCCGTTTCGTTTTGTGACGACAGGCCACGGACAAGTAGAAAGACAAGTTGCGTCCGCAAACTCTTTTGTTTGCAAAAGCCCTGCAGGTTTGGAACGCTTTGGTTTCACTTATATTTTCAGAATATGGGGGCTTCAAGCTTCCGCAATACAGAGGATCCTTCTTCACACCAAGTTCAAGTCGTTAAATCGCCGGTCTTTCGATTATTGTTTCTTTGAAAACTATCTAGTTTTTTCAATATTCTCTACATCCCCGTTTTATACGGACTTTGTCAGAGACTTATCGCTTGCTGTGTTTGCATTTCCGTTACAATGTTAACTTCCACCGAGCATTTGCCTTCTATTACGTCTTCAGTTACTTTCCTAAAACAAGTTATATCTATTCAAGGCTGTTTAGTTTTCAATTTTCTTTAGATTGGTTAGACTTGAAGATGGAAAAATCCTGATATTTTACCAATGTTACACGATCTCCATCTGATTTTTAATAAATAAACCTCCGCTTTACTCTGATTGCAATATCAGATTGCTAATATGTTTATTTAGCTTAGTTTAAGAACAATCTTTAAGTGCGATATTAAGTTCTAAACATTAGTACAGTGCTCTGTTAAATAGTTTCAAGTAGAAGCGAATATGCGTGCCCCAGGTTCTTGTTGTAAAGAAGACGAAGACG